CAGAATTTCAAGGGGTGAGATGTACATTTTTGTATTGTAGCACTTTCAGCAACATGGGGTTTGTTGCTAATACTTATTTTCAGCAACAAACAATCTCATGATGCTGATTTATTGTTGGTAAAAGACAAAATTTTAGTAGTGTCATAACAGTTAGGAAGGACAAAATATGGTGCAATACATAAAACAGATGTTGATATATTGAGTACCACTCTCTTCTTCATCACAAATGCAAACATCATTTTTTTCCGTTTTTAATGTATGCTAAAACGCCGCATCTATTTAAGACAACTAAGAGATAACTGGATATAACTTCACAAAAGTATCCCATATGCTTGGTTGCCTCCCATCTGCACTCGTCGCCCTTTCATATTGATTGTAACAGAGGTTAATTAATACTGGGAAGGCAAAAGCAACCGAAAGTTTGACTGCTATTGATTTGGATTAACTAAAAGCACATTAACAATTGTTCTATTACCTAACAAGAGTTTAGTTAAAGTTGTTCGCAACCATATAGAACATTGATTTAAGAATAAAATTAGAGATTCAAGCCTCTCCAAAAATAAGCAAAGATAATTTCCAAATTGCACAAAAACAGAACAGTGGTTGTATTAAATGGCCTACCTGGTAAGCACTTGATCCTGCCTCGAAGATAAAACCCTCAGGAAAGCTACTCCGATTTAGCCCGGTTGATCCTTTAAAGTAAGCTAAAAATGAAATCAGTGCTACAAGGAAGAGGACGAAAAGAAATTCCATTTTCACGTGTGGCGTTTCTCAATTATCCTCTGCTGTCTATATAAATAGAGTAAGAAAACCTGCACGTGGAAACGTACGTATATGCTGACAAAAAAAGAAAAAAGAAGCAAGTATATCATGTGCCATACAGTTTGTTAGATAAAGGTGAATCATTGTTGTAACATCCCAAATTTTCGGGAATATTTAAGTGTAAGTTAGGGACTTGATTGTGAGAAAAGATTGTTTTGAGGCCTAATGTGAATATTTCAAAAGTTGAGGGACTTAAAGAGGGAAAGATTTTGGATAAGGATGACTTCTTTTCTCTTTCTTCTTTCTTTCTTTCTTTTCTTCCCAGCCTTGCCCGATTCTACTCTTCTTCTTCATCTTCCCGCTGCAGCCACCCGAAGAAAAAAAAAAGGGGAACCCAGCCATGCCTTTGAGAAACCGATGAGATAAGCTTGGTTTTCTCCTTCCTTTCTTGCTCTAGAACACACCTAGAACCCAGAAATCTTCCCCCCTGCTGGAAAAGCCGGATCTGCCCTGCTCTGCTTTGTCCTTCCACCGGCTGCTCTTGATTGTGGGTGATTTCTGGGCATTTTTTTTCGGTAAGAACAGCCCCTAATTTCCTTTGTTCTTGCTTGAATTGGCTTGGGTTAACCTTAATTGCTCTTGTTCCTCCCATTTTTGGGTAGATTGCGTGATTCTTCCCTGCACTTGCCGCCGGCTTCTCTCCCAATTTGCTAGCTCCGGTTCCTTGCTTGTAAATTCTGGTATGTGACAGCCTTTTAAGGCTTAAATTGTCCATTTAGTTTGCTGCATTGTATGTCCGAATTGTGTTGGAAAAATGGGGGAAATTCCGGTAGCCTTTGAGCATGTTGTAAATCAGCTTGATAAATTGCTGTGATTTTTGGAGAGAAAATCCCGTGAGATTAGCTAGTGTTTTGGCCAATTTTGGAAGTAGAGTTACTGTTCACGTCAGGGTCACTGTTCAACGGCACTGTTCACCAGTTACTGTTCACACCCCGAGGGCCAACATTTAACGGGAATTTAAATGATTAGTTTGTGATATGAGAATGATTTTGGAGATATTTGATCATGTGGAGATTTATGGAAATAGCATTGTGATTAGGAATGATCCTAATGATGATTTCAGCTTGAATTTGTGATAGCCTGGTATTAATTCTGAGGTGTTTTGATTAGGTTCCCGATCGTTCTGTCAGTTAGTACGTGAATTGAGTGCTCGGTTTTATGCAAGTGAGGTAAGTAAATTTATGGTAATGCCTGTACTGTTTTAAAAGCATGTTTTGATTTGTTTTTGAAGTGGTGGCGGGACTAAACCCGTTTTACACAAGTATGATTGATTTGAAGTGAAATGTTTTGTGCTTTTCATGAAATTGAGCATGCCTACTTGAAATTTGAGTGACTGTCCTGATGATCTGAAAGTGATTGTGAATTGTGATTTTTCTGTTAACTTCTGCCTGTTTTGTCTTCAATGTGGTCATGTTATTCGTGACCCTGCTAGTGGGGGAGGTTATAAACGCTAGCACATGTCGACATGTTAGTGAAAGAGCCAGTT